TTCAACAGTTCAAAGACGTTCTTCTTAGGATTCAACCTGGTTCCTAAATTAAACCAGCGTTGGGCGCCATTGTCAAGGGTCTCCCAATCTCAGGGAATAATAATACTAAATATTATACTAAATAAAATAAAAACAAGTAACTGTCACCCTGTGATATTCTCCCTCTCTTTAATAAAATGTCTCCTGACATTTCTTAAAGAGAATACTTACTCTACTATACTTATCTACAACTAACTTAAGTCTTATCAACACTAAGTAACTATCAAATAATAAGACTTAATAACTAATCATAAAATTATGAACTACAATACACTCCACACATAATTAACTAAGTCACTGTAAGTGAAATCTTAAGTTAAATCATAGTAGTTCTATCCAAGATGAAAATAAAAACATAACGTAAAAACAACATGTTAAATCTATATACACACTAATACTACAGTTGTATCCCGATTACCTGTGACATTCTCCCTCTCTTTAACCACGATTTCCAGGTCGTCCAAGACTAGGGCGCGTCTATCCGTTAATGGGAAGCACACACAGTTCTTGACACGAATGTTATTTGAATCGATAATAACCAAAACATCTCTCGTCTCGGCTACACCGTCCACGAGGTATCCATGAATGGCTGTGACGCCACACTGCTTCGAAACGCTTGGGGTAAAAATAGTCCCTGAGTGGCTCGTAACTGCCGGCACGGGAGTTCAGTGTTTCTCCGAATTGAATAGATATTATGTAGAGCTCTGTTTCATTAATTACCACACACTGAAGAATAATTTTCACAATTTTCACCACACAAAGCACTTTTTCCTCTGAAAATTGCTTACTTGTAGTTCGTTAGTAATCTTGTAGAAATAGCCTGGTCACCTTCAACAGTTCAAAGACGTTCTTCTTAGGATTCAGCCTGGTTCCTAAATTAAACCAGCGTTGGGCGCCATTGTCAAGGGTCTCCCAATCTCAGGGAATAATAATGCAACACAGTTCCTCAATAAAGGTTCATATATTTATTGGATGACAATATTTGCAGGAACGATGATAAATGAAGTAATGAAGTACAAACGTACGTACGAATGAAGGTGAAAATGACACACTCGTACAAATTCACACACACTAATATATATTTAATTAGAATAGTTTAAAATCAGAATAAGATTTAGTACTAATTTACTCTTACCAGTTACACCATGGTACTAAGGTTCCGTAAGGAATTTCTTAGTTAAACTGCTCATGTGGATTTCTCGCAGGAGAACATCCAAACTATCGTCAATGTATCGTCAAGATTAAAAAGGAATAGTCCGTGCATAAGTATATATACCAGGACTCACACATGCGTACATAACTACCACGTCACCCCATACATACTGGTTCTACAACTCACACCTAGGATAATAATAAACCACAAGACAATCACGTGACAACCAAACACTCACGTGACACGGAACACCGGACAAACAAGAATACAATACAAACACGATGACAATGAATGACCAGATATGAATGAATGAATAAAGGAATTTACTACAGCTATCTACTATACTGACTTACTATACCAGCTGTACTAAATAATTATACTAAATAGAATAAAAACAAGTAACTGTCACCCTGTGACATTGTGTTTTCAACATTTTTACAATTGGCAATACAGATATAGTTTTTGACCAAATGACCTTATTTATAGATGAATCAAATCTACTTATACCAATGTATACAATTAGGTATACTTACTAATAGTACTATAATGTTGGTTATAGATTCTGTACGTTGCATTCAATGCTGATGCAAGTGTTGTACCCACTACCAAACCATGATGCATGTTCATGTGTACCCAAAAGTCATTGATGATCAGATTATAATCACTGATACTATTAAGATAAAGTATCAATTTATTAAATACGCTGTGTATCTTTGATTTTCAATTGAAAAATTCTTACTGACTGATTTTGGATCCTTAAAATCAATGGAACAAATTATAACACATTATAAACATTTGCAATTTATTGAGACAAAAATTATTACTGGTAGGTTTAATGTGAATTATGAAAGTAGTTAACAGATACGGACTTCATACTTTGTTGATCAGTGCAGTAATAATCATTTAAATCAATTCATGATCATAAATTTACATTATTGATAAGTTCATGTAACAAGCATATAGTCTTAAATTTCATTTTATTTTATAGGCAAAAGAAATGTGTTTGGTTGTTGGAGAATAGGAATAACATTCTTATTGTTGGTTCTTCTTTTGCAGGTAAGTGGTTTAAAAAATTGCACGGTTTATTAGTGCCATTGTGTTTTTTTTTTACTCTCTTTTTTCTTTATTTGCTTTTCTTCTAGCTGAGTCATATCTTGCTCAATTGTTCAAGCCTTGTCAGTTAATTAATCTTGGAGAGCTGATTACTTTTATCTTGAAATCAATGCAGTTGAACCATTCACTAGACATGTTTCTAATATTCCTCAATGCCCACCCACTTTGCATTGTGACGAATATAATTATGCAATGGCACGCAGAGCCAAATTTAACCAGTTTTTAGCTCACCAGAGCCAACAATTAAACTCAGTTCAATTTATTTTATGATCCTATTTTGTTTGGTGTCCGTCTGTCTATAATAGACCTGCTTGTCCATATGTAAACTTATTTTTTACATGCATGTTTTCATCCTTTTCAAGATCTAAAATGACTGGACCAATTAACTTGCTTGATTTGAATTATTCTTTTAACATCTTGAGGATGAGGAACATAAGCCCTCCCCCCCCCCCCCACACACACACACACAAAAAATTACCAAACTTTCCAGAAAATATTCTGAAAGGGAATTAAAGTTTGATCAAACATGTCAAATGCAGGACAATGTTTTTCAAAACGAATTGGAGATGATTACAAATTAATGAATGAGAATTATTTGCAATGAAAAAAAAATCTTCAATTTGAAAATTATTAGAAATTAATTGGATGAACATGTTGAAATGAAAAAGTTTAAAATGGATGCACCCTCAGGTATAGACTCAAGTTTATTTAATTTTAAAAATCTTTACACCCTGGGGAATAGGGAGGGGTCACAATTGCCATCAGATTTTAACATAAGAATGCATACAAAAAAATCTTAATTCTCGGTCGTATTTAGGCTATTCTATTTTAATGTCTAATCATCAAAAGGAAAATTAAGTGGGATACCTGGTGGGGAATAAAGTACATGTATAAGCTTGCAAGTGATTGTTGTCTTTAGCATCATAGGGGAACACAAAGTGCAGAATTTGTTCCCAAGCACACATGGAAACATAACAAATCATTTTATGCAGAAAGGATGATCCTTTTCAGGGCCATATTATTCTCAGTTGATGACATAGTTGTCTAGGAAAATCCTGTTTTTCCCTCAGAATTTAATAAGTATACAAGTTTAATGATGTGACGTGTGTCCATTAGTTCCCATCAGAGTTTGATATATATGTTACAAAAGTCCAAAGTCCCAGGTCAAGGTGGCACTGTTTACTTTAAAAATAAACTTAGAATTTCATGATACCCTCTGTCCTTGCATCATACTTATGTCGCATTCATGTAACTAAATCATGCGCAAGCATTTCTCATACATGTTAATTTGGGTACGTCTTTTAACCACAAGGAACCCCAAGGAACCACAAGGACACCACAAGGAACCACAAGGACACCATATATAACATTAATTACTTTAAATATGGTTTATATGCACTTATAAATTACAAAAAAATGTTTTGAAGGGCAAATTAAAGCTTTAATCATCTTAATTGAATTTAACAGAGCAGTATCCAAGTTAAAAATTTTAAAGTACCAGTAGTATATGCTTCGTATACAATTAAGTTCAATCATGTCAATTATGCATGTATATTTTTCAGGAAATTTGATAATATATTATATGGTGTAGAAAAAAAATCCTGCAACTATTAGTTGTGAATTTCAATACACAGAACCAATGGAAAGTCGCATAAAACTTAAGAATAAGCAAGGCATTAAAGGTACCAAAGAATACCCTATGGCACCCTAAGAAAATCTCAATGACTTCTTATTTAACTTTAATAAATGTACATGTAAATATATATGGACATTGGTTTATACTTGCATTTATAAATGTCATATATAGTAACTGATTATTGCATATTGTGCAATACACAAAACAAAATGATACCAAGCCAGCATATTGAACCAAACAATGACCTTATGTTGCCACAAAGACATCTAAATGTACCCTAAAAATATACTGAAAGGAAAAAGAAACGCAGGGTAGCATAATTTTCGATAAAAACTTTACCACATGACCGAAAATTACGAAAATTGGTCAAAAGGGAAATTTAGTTACTGTGCATCAAAATCAGTATTCAGAATTACTCAACCGTAAAATTTATGACGTTGCGTAGGGAAAACTCTAAAAAGCCCCAAACACGTGCAATTTGATAACGACGAGTTTGTCAACAAATCTTGTAGCATTATTTGATGCATATGAGGTATGCACAGCGTTTTTCAATATTAAGAGACTTGATGAATCTATTGCAATCTTGGCACAGTTTACGGAAGTTCAATGGGGTCTTGTTTTCGAATTGCCTAATTAATGAAAAAGGCAACAATGGTTTACTAAGCAGTCTCTTGTAAATTTTCCCCCATAAAACATTTTACCCGTTGTCAGAGAGAGTCTGGAGTGATTTTCAATCAACTGTGACGATGACGTTAACGCAATACAGAACCATCTTACGAGCTGATTACTCGTCCTGTCATTTCTTAAGGATACACCAAAGGCTTTTTTCAAGATTTTTGTCAATTTTGAGATTTTTGGATAAGAAAACAATGCCAATCACTGACTTTATAATGCATGCAAAATTCTTGCTGATTATTAAGTGGTTTTCAAATTATTTAACAATAATTAAACATAAACACTAACACATGTGAATGTGCCGTTATTGAAGCTTCTGATTTGGTCTGTAACTGCCTGCTCCTGAAAGGAGTAATAAATCACTGTGACCACTTGGGGAATTCTTCACTAGCCACACAGAGGTTATCAGTAATTAAACTACAGGGGCTCTAGATTTAGGGAAGGAGTTCTAACAGGTCACTAATGACCATGAAATAGGAGGTGGAGCTTAGCTCTTGCCATTTTGCCGGGAAATCTTTCTGATTCAGAATTGAACCTATTTTACTTCATTAAAAGCACCTAAATAAAGAAAAGAACCTCCCATTCTTGTAAATATGCATATAGGAAATATGGATAAGTGACAGGTATCCAAAGCTGAATCTCCAAGGTGTCATATATTTCTAGCTTTGGCAGACTTTGTTGTGTAATGGGTTTTTGCCCTCTACTGTAAAGTTAGAACAGACAGTTGGTGGTATTATTTCAAAGGATTCAGCTCACTTATTTATGGACCAATTTCTCTGAAAACTGGCCAGAATGTGTCTCAAATGTGTGTTCACAAAACCGTATCTCAGATTTTTGATATCTTGCTCAGTTCTCGAATTATGGGGGGAAATGTAGAATTGGGCTAATAAATTGGTAACATTAAAAGACAAATGGATGTAACTTTTGAATAAGAAGATTTATCAAAAATCTGAGATACAGTTTTAAAGTTCAATCTTTAATCTACATTGAGGCAAAATTTTGACTTTGAGACTGAGGTGGAATACAAAAAAGTTGATTTAAAAAATATAAATGCACAAATATTTACATTAAAATATTAATACCTTTTTAATAAGATAAAAATGAAAATTTAAATTAGGATCAATAAATAGTCAATTTAACAAGCTTTCAAATGATATATACTTTTAATATGTTATCTTTTTTAATAAAAGAATTACAAGCAAATTAAATTTTGCTCTTTTGAAACCTTTGGTGTATCCTTAAATCGCCACCTTACTACCAAAAAAACATCCATTTATAGAGAAGACGATTATAATCATTACATTCATACGAAATTTGAAAGAAAACAATTCCGCAATTTGGTTTTTTGAGCCAGTTAACTTACTGGTGTATTCCTCTCAGTCCCCCTGCGAGACGATCATGAATAATTCATGAATTTCCTTGAATTTTTCATGAATTTAATTCATGAAATGTTCATGAAATGTTCATGAAGATCCTATGAACTTATTATTGGACATTTTCAAATCATGAATATTTATTCATGAAAGAAAATTGATGAATATTCATGAATATTTTTTTTCATGAATAATTCATGAAGAGTCATATTTATGAAGATTCATCATTTCAAGAATGTCCAACAATAAGTTCATAGGACCTTCATGAACTATTCATGAATAATTTGATGAATTTTTTCAGGAATGTTCATGAATGAATAAAATTCATGAACAATTAGCATTCATGAATATTCTTGCTTATTCGTAAACAAAAAATGAAATATTATTATTCATGTTTATTCATGAAAATGCATGAAGTCATGCTAAAAAAGTAACAGTAGATGATTTATAATACAGCATTTTGAAAGATTTTACAGAAATGTTGTTTGTTTTCCAACCATGGCAACAAAATCTTTGTTAAAAAAATTAAAATAGACAATCTGACACATTAAACCATAGTAAATGAGTAATGTAGTTCATTCCTGGTAAAAGTATAAAAAAAATTCAATTCAAATGCAACTCTTTGCAGAATGTTTAACCTTACTTGGTCAAAAGGAGAGGGGGATCCTTCCTCAGCATGTTTCAAATTGTGTTTTAATGCTAGAAATTGAACAGTTTTTAATTCCAGTTTAGGAGAAAAGTTTGTTCAGCACCAGGGAAACAGTTTTCAGTGCTTTCAAGCAGTTCGAGCAGAGATGGTCAATTCAAAAATCCTTACTGTCTCTCCATGTGGAATTTCCAGAATTTCATCATTTGGATCCTTTGATTGAATATCATTCATATTTTCATTTTTGTTTGTTTCTTTTTCAAGAGCTCAGATTTTTGTGCAGCCAGAGTTTCTTCTCTTCTGCTCATCAACATTTGTGAACTGCTTCTCTTTTTCCTTCAAAAAGAAAGATTTTCTGAAAGTACCCATGATTGTAAAACATACTTAAAGACTTTTTAGTATTTTCTTGCATTTTAGACTCATTTAATTTTGCATCAGAGACACTTCCAAATTAAAACATTCTGAGTGGAATTTAAGCCTAATTTCTTGGACCACCATTTTGTAGATCAATCAGGCCTATGAATGTTTTGAGTCTCATTCTATAATTAATGTATGTTAAATGGTTGGATCCAAACTCAAAGCAAAGTTAGACAAAAATTGCATTAAAAAAAGA